AACAAACATTTTGCCCTGAGTCTCATTTCAAACACTAGCTATTCTTGAGATAAATTTGGCTTAGTAAACCATTTGTGTACTAGACATCACAAAATTAGCAAAACAAGTAGGGTGTTCAGACACAAATAGCTCTCCCCCCTCCCGGAAAAGGTAAGAGGAAACCTCATCAGGCCACTAAAGATAGACATTCCAGATAGTCAAATTTCCTCAGGCATACCTCTGGCCCCCTATCCCCTATCCTTACACGACAAAAACTAAGATTTTGGGTAGAATTTGGAGGAGTATTTCCAGTGATACAGCTGGACTGTAGGAGATCCTTCCTCCCTTGTTTGAGACACTAGATGAGGATACTTTCCCCTGGGATTGAGAACCCTTACCTGAGAAAGGGTAAGCGATTAAGGAACACGGGTGGTGTTTGGTATGCTTTAAGATTGTGATTAAGGTTTTAACACCTAGCATGCTTGTAGTTTGACCTAGTGCATTTCTGGAATCACTTAGTTTCGTAATAGTATATCCTGTGTATTGGTATTTTAAATTGCAATAGTGCATTCTTCCATTGTATCCATAAAACCTGCAATAGTGAGGTACTGGACCTATGAGTGAAGTTCAAAGAAACTGTTAGTTTGAACCTCGCAGTGAAATCTTTCTCTCTCTGTCACAGAGATAATTGGCCATTTTAAGATTTGGCTTACCTATGCTATAGAACCCAGCTTCAGCAAGTTGCTCCTTATCAACAGGATATATCCAAGATAAAAATGTTTGTAATCGTCTTCCATATTTTGCCATAGATGGATTCCTTGGATGCTCTGCATTGCTCAGGCCAAGCTCAGCATCACTTGGAACATTTCCAACCTCGCGGCCCAGGACAAAAAGGCATTTGGGAAAATGCCGCTTGTGTTCTGACCAGGCTCTGTCACTGGGTTCCCACTTACTCAGTTTTCCACCACAACAAAAACATACCACTTGGTCACCAACACCTGTGTAATAGAATCCAGCACTAGCTAATTCCTTTGGTGTCAACTGGCCGCTGAAAGGCCAACTGTGGAAAGACTTTAATCTCGTTTCTTCGCTGCACATAGCAGGGTTTTTAGGATACAAACTATCTGACATATCCACAACCTGTCTAGTTCTCAAAAGGCAATCTGCATCCACATCGGAAGGGTCATCCAGAGCACACAGGACAGCTGAACTGCTGGAACCATTTTCAGTTCTATGCTGGTAGTTCTGGGTGCCAGGATCTACGTTATTTTCCAGGAAAGCAGACTCGGTAATAAATCTGCAATTTGGGGAAAGCCTTTTGTGCCTCTCAACTGTAGAATCCCCAGATGCCCATCCTTCCATTGTCGCATGGCAACTGAAGCACTTCACTTTGTCACCTTCTCCAGTATAAACAAAGCCAGCTCGTGCCAGTTCTGACGCCGAAACTGGGCATGCAGGAGGAAATTCAACAAAAGTTCCCAGTCGGTAGTGTTCCTGTGCCCATTCCTGGTCATGGTCACTGTCTGGAGTGGCACAAGCTTCTGAGTTATCTGGACCATTACACATCATGTCTTCATAAATAGGACCTTCCTTTCAAATTTCCTAAACAAAGAATAAAGGTTTTCATTTCACAGACAGAAGAACAGATCATGCCCATAATGCAAGCCTGGAGACTGGCTAAATTAAACCAGCCATCCTTTATGTATTAAAATAACGCCTCTTGCTCTTCCCTCCCACTCACCCTTGCCTGCCTCCCCTGCCAAGAAGTCGAAAACACCAGAACATTAAAAACAAGCAAACAAATCCATAAAGAAAGGAAGGAAGTTCATGAAGTTTTAAGAGGGCAATAAAATTTACCTGGAAAACACAAATATTTATAAATTTATAGCTAAACAAACAAACACTGCAAGAATGAAATAAACAACTATTTAACAAAAGCTCTGGGCAAAACTCTACCAAAAGGCTTCCAAACCTGAAATAGGAAGTTACTAATTTTAAACTACTCTGGACAACCCAGATTTGCAAGATTTTACAGGCCAGTTCTGAAACATAACTATCTATTTTACCCCCCTACTAAGGCCATGAACAACATGCCCATTTCAGATGGGCATCAACTGGTAAAACCATGATCATAAAGAAAAAAGCCTTTGGAGCTGCGTGTAAAGACACAGAGCTGTGTGTAAAGCTGTGGAGCTGTGTGTAAAGACACAGATCTCAGTTTTCCTTTTAGCAAAATATCTTGCGAAATAACCTATGTTTCACTGGGGCATTTTAAGAAAGTGCTGTGCTCTGCTTTTCAGATCAGTGCCTTGGACAACCCTGCACTAGGGCTCACGCCCAGCACGCTGCCTCTGCTTTCCCAAGGTCTGGCTGACCCTCTGTCAAAAGCTGCTCCAGCACTTCTGCTGTCACCTCTGCTGTCACCTCGCCTTTTCCTCCCTCCCCTCCCTGACGGAACGCCATTCTCCCCACCGCATGTCCCACATTCCTATTCCTGCCTACACCTGTCCAAGGTGAGTCCTGCCTCAGGCCCTGCTGTGCCCGAAGGCTGCTCAGAGCACTCAGACAGGCCCTTTCTTCCAGGAGGATGAGAGCCGCGACTCGGTTCCTGCAGGTCCTGGGCAAGAGCCACAAACTGACGGTCACCGCCTCTGCTCCAGGATGGATGAAGTCAGAGCACAGTAAAAATTTCTCTCTTGTCCCGGCACTACTACCGACTTTGGGTAAAACACAGGCTACCGCTGATATGTGTCTCAAACTAATTCCTTTATTAAGTGGTAAATTAAATTACTATGAGAAAAACGGACTTCTTGGCACAAAGCAATAGTAATTCAGCAATTAGCAAAAAGAAATGCATATAAGGAAGAACCAAATATGTATTTATTTGAACGAGTGTTCTCCATTTTTTATATGAATCTGGAAATGTATTTATTTCCAGTCCTCACCTTTATAAGGTAGGTCACCAACAAAAATTTAGTTTCCTCAACACCTGTATTAGTACCGATTATACTTTCTGTAAGGTCAATGCAGAAGTTACAGTTATAATTGCTTATTTAATACCAGATTTAGCTTCTACAGGCAGGACAAAAGCTTTTTTAAAGTTCCAAATGGGGAGGAGGAAATTAAAATGACAATGCATTCCAGGATTGCTGCATCTTTTCCCAAGATGACACAGATGACAATGACCCCATAAGCAGAGTGAGGAAATATGACAGTTACAGACCCAGCACGCTTGCTTCATGGAATCCCGGATGCTACTGAGCACCAGCTTTAATTCCTTCTGTAAGTCAATTTGTGACTAATGTAATGACACTAGAAATGAAACTGTGGTTTTCTATCTTAGCAAACTCAAAAATAGCTTCTGAATAAATTACATTGACTGACCTACAAATCTGACCTATATGCTTGTTTTGACTTTGAATGGCAAAAAAAAAAAGTAAGTAATTACATGTAGTAATATGGAAGCTGTCACAATACATGGATTTTTAATATATGCCTATACTGAAAGAAGTTTTATAATAGAAATATAAAAGTTCATGTTTATTTCCTTTTAAAATAATATTTTAAACTCTCTAGGACTGTTTCGGTAAAAATCTCAGTGACCTTATGAGTCCATCATCAGTTACTAATACACTGCATTCATAAATAATTTATACTACTGAAATATGATTAGCTCCATGGCAATTTTCTAATCTGCATACCTAAAAGACTTCCTACAGGAAGGTAAACAAAGACTATCTCACATCCTTCAAAGACTCCTTTTCAAAAGGTACACTGAAAAAACAAAACAAATGCATGTGCTTTCAATGTATGATTAGCACTGTAACTTCTCTTCTACTTACATTGAAACGAGTTCAGATCTAGTGAAAAAAATCCTCTTATTTAGATTTTTACATATTAAGCTTTTTTTTTGTTTATAGTTTCTTTAAAATCAGCATAGAGATTCTGCATCCCTCTTTGTTCTGTTACACACAAAATAACCGGCAAATGAGTCGATCTACTCAGCCATTCTCTGTAACTCGCCCTCCCTGACTCTAGTGAAATCAGAGGTAAAGCCAGGCCAACGTTCAAGCCTGATAGATCTCAAAAATTCACAGGAGACACAAAGATCACCCTTGGTTTGTACTTTTTTGTTCCTTATGCTGTATAAGGTGACCATATATTACAACGATTATGATACGTGAAGTTAAAAAAGTTAGAATTAATTACGCTCCCACTTCTCATAAACTACCTACATGTTCTAAGACACAGTAGTATCATAAGCATAAAGAATAAAAAATAAATATATACCAGGTGCATATATATAAAACTTCATTATGACATGAATGCACTGCTTACACTGTTTTCATAAGCTAAAAAAGATATTTTACCAAAGCAATTTGAACAAATACTGTATTTTAACTAAGGCCCAGATTCTCCAGTGCCTTCTGACATAGATGATCATCAAATTATACTGACATTGCATAAGCAAGTCTGGGCCCTGTAGTACCTTTTCTGGACGTTTTAATTAGAACTGTCCCCCTCCAACATCAGAAAATTTAAGAAACCTCATAGCATTATTTTTGGTAGTAAAAAGCTTAAAATTCTGAAAAAAACCCATTTCCTGAAATTGGCAAGCATCTACTTTTTAGATAATTTAATCTGAAAGGACCCACTTCTTTTAAAGCAGGCTTCATTTTCAGAGTGCTTACAAACATATAATGTTTAACTGTGCAACTTCTCCCTGAATAACTTCTCACCTTTAAAAATACGGACTGCAGAAAATATCATGTAGGTGGTATGTCTCATATATGACAGAATCTCCTGACAAAAATAAGTTTTAAACTATTACTTAAATCAGTTTGTACTAGTTTTATTCCATTTACTCTGTGGAACCTCTCTCCTGGTGTTTCCTGGAAAGATGTATGTTTTAATGACACTGAGGAACTGAGAATGAAACACCTGGGCAAACATGCAAAGAAGGAAGGAAGAGGATCAAAGACTAAACTATTAGAAACCAGGACGAAGATGACACTCAATTAACAGAGATGTTCTCTTTCAATTTTATTGATTACTTTTAATTAACTGTGAACGACCTAACACTCCGTATCTGTATCACCCTCAGCTTCAACGGAAATCAGCGGATAACACCTTTCAGCCAGGTCTAACAGCAGTACCTGTAGCATCAACAAAATATACCTATGAACTGTACTGGAAGTTCTAGCAATTCAGGGAAAATATAATGGAAATAAGCATTAGGATAAAACTAAATAAGCCTATATATAATGCATTCGTCACTCAGAACATTATGATTGCCTGCTTTATTCTTTCAAACAGTTTTTTTTCTGCAGTGGTATGAATACTTCAATACTCCTATTAACACTGTAAATAAATAACTAAATAATTAGATAAAGTCATCAACATAGTGATACTCAGAATATCTGCCACATTTGGATTCTCTGGAGGTAAGTAATCTATCTTGATTCTCACTATCAAAACAGCATGAAAAGCACATACCAAAAGAGCAGTGGGTACTGCCAGAAGGTCCAGTCACCACAGTAAGTGCCCCTACCAAGCAACTGTAGTAACTGTTTCAAATTATACCAACCACATTATTTAATCTTGATCTTTTGGAGCAGAAAGATTCAACCGCCATTCTATGAAGTCTCTCACAACCACATCTAAATACTGCAATGACAGAAGCAGGACAAATCCCTCACAGGTATCTGCTAGCTTTAACAATGCTCCACCCCCATGATGAAGCCCTTTCCTTACAACAGCTCCTCTAAACATAGTTATGTTTCAGGAAAATTTTATCTAAGAGAACAAGACATCACAGAATCACAGAATGTCAGGGGTTGGAAGGGACCTCAAAAGATCATCTAGTCCAACTCCCTGCCAGAGCAGGATCACCCAGAGTAGGTCACATAGGAACACATCCAGGTGGGTTCTGAATGTCTCCAGAGAAGGAGACT